CAGTGTGAATCGTCATATGTGTTCTAGAGTAGACACCTCCCCTAAATCGGTAAACAGTGATAATTTTGGCACTTTATACCCTCTAGACCATGGATAAGCTTGGTCTATCCAGTTAGGATATGACTTTGTGTAAGTCGGCCTAATAAAAAGACGTACCCCAAAAGTTATCTGGTCCTGTACGATTTTCATAATCTGATTCCTCAACATGACGTTGGGGTCATATGGAATCTCTACAGGTTGGTTGACCGGTTGATTTGCTTGAGGCCTAATATTTGGTCCTTGATTAGGAATAAAGTTACCATGATTTGGGCCATTGTTACCATTAGCCTGAACATTTATTCCCTCATTAACACGTGGGGTATTCTGCCCGTTATTTAGGACATTATCTCTTACATTTGGATTACCCCCCAAGTTAGACGTACCACTACCATTATTCTGATTTGGCGTTACACCATCCCCTTGGTTTGAAGTAGAGGGACTGAAATGTGGTTCTACCCCTTGACTTGGATTTAGGATTGGGGGATTATATCCCACAATTATCTTAGTTTGAAAGTGGTTTGCAAGAGACATAATGGTTGACAAATTTGACCTACTAACTTATTCATTATTTTATTCAAAGTATTCAGTTGTTTGGCCATGTTGTCATAATGTGCATTCCCATTCTGGGTAAATCTTTCCATATTATGAATATTTCGAAGATTTACTTGTTCAACGATATCTTGTGTGAGTTCTCCAAGTAGTGCACGCATAGTTCGAGAACTCAACTCTGTCATTGATTCGTAACGACTGTTACTGCTCTGATTCTGTCCATCTGTTCGTGGAGAGCTATGCTACTCCTCATATCGCTCGATCACAGACTGGACTCCTCCCTGACTTGCTACTTCCTTATCGGATCTCTGAGGCATATTGTTTTACCTTTTGTATCTTCAACACCAAACACCACTGTCCCACTGGGCATGTCAAATTGTTTCGCGTGGGTTAGTCGCTAACAATTAAAAAAGGGATCAGACGATTGTGTAAGGAACAAACCTCTTGAGGCAAAGTCCCAAAAAGGGGTGTTTTTATTGGCGATGACTTTACAAATGGAAAATAAAAACAGAATGCCTTCAAGGGGTGTAAGCACACGAGTTACTGAAAAGAAGTGTTTAAATCTAAACTAAGAAATTTAAAGTTACATATTCTCTGTTTGAGAGTGTTTGATTCGGGGTCATTTGCTCTATATCCTTTTTTCCTTTTATACTCTCTGGATGATCTCTTCGTGATCAATCGCTTAAAAACTGTTTGATCGCTCTATAACTACCCACTTTCCTCGTAGTAGCCAACTTGTCATGGAACTGTCTTCTCTAACTGCTGCCATTACCTTTTGTCGTTCAACCGTCTTCAATTGAATTCCTTGAATCGTGGAAAGTGATAGGACTACCCAATAACTGCTTCATTAACTGCACTTTTGGGTAACCATAACATCTTAAGTTTGCTAAGATGCTGGGGGACTCGAATGTTTGGGTGAGAGTAGGGTCACAGCTCTGGGCGACTACATGGCAATTTATTCGCTCAAATTTTGGGCGACTTGCAACTTTGGGCGATGGTATTACCGCGTTCATGGGCTTCCCTATTTGGGCCTTTATCCTGCATTGCCTGATTGGGTCGTTCTTTAGGCTATTTGATTTTGGGGATCTTCCAATTGGACTTCATTACTTGGGCTGAACTTTTTGTGTGTCAACAACTTCAAAGTTCAAACCTAGGTTTTAATTTGGAGTTGATGCTCCTCCTCCTTATCATGGCAATCTACAAGATGATATTACCAATCTACAAGATGATATTAGAATTACATATCTAACTGGTCTTATCAACTAAAGCTTAAGAACGGATAGAAGTAATAAATCAAGCTCTTATCTATCATGAAAATGATAAACTGAATTTCGTTGGTTTGAGTATTTCCTTCAACGGAAATGACGTCAAATTGTTCATAGGACTACGGGGCTATCATGTTGGCTGGCTCAAATATATGCTATAACTTAATTTGGTCAACCTTAATGCTTCATAGGGGAATACTAATTATTTAAATTCTCTGACAGGTTCATGTCTCGTCTCGTGTACACTTTATAAATTGCCAATATACTACGAATAGTATACTATATTACCAAAATAATGATATCAATTGTACTAGTGTCAAGCTTTGATCTATATCGCAGTGGGATCTATCACATTATTCAATGAATGAAGACATATTTCAATATCATAGGCGCTTTTCTAAAAGGCGAGCATCCGCGCTACCAATACACGATGTGCAGTGAACTTGGTTTGGCGCTTGATTTAACGGTCAACAACCATCGTTTGACCGTTAAGTCGCGCC